GAGGGGGAGCTCAGGGGACTCGGGCAGAGGCCTGGTCATCTCCTGCAGGATCTCGATGAGTTTGCTGAAGGTCGTCCCACCCACCACCTCATTCAATGGGCTGTAGAGCAGGGGAAGAGACTGGGCAGGGCAGAGGGGAGAGCAGGGGTCTGAGACCTTTTGACCCATCATAGCCACAGCCCCAACCCTGAGCCCCATCTCAATACCTAGAGGGGACATGCAAGGGTCAATGCTGCATCCCCCCTTGTGGGGGGCTGCCACCAGGATTGCTTTAACCCTCCTGGAGATCTTTCTCCTCCTCAGGGAAGGAAAGAGGTTCCTGTCTCACATCAACCCCACCAGCTGCCTGGCCATGCTGGGACTCAGCAAGATGGGCCCCTCCATTGCCCAGGGTGCCACCCCCAGCAAGGGCAACAAGGGAAGGAGTCAGCCCAGGACACCCCTGTCCTGGCCAGAGGTGCTTGCCTCATCCAGCATGTCCTTCTTCATGAGGAAGGGTAGATGGTGGGTGATGGTCAGCAGGATCTTCTCTGCTTGCTCCTGGGTCAGGTGGGGCAGCAGGCGGGCCGTGAGCTTCTTGCCCTTCCGCACACAGAGGAGTTGCAGGAATTCATCCTCTGCCTCCCTGGGGACGAAGGCTCCATTGGCACAGATCTCGAGGGACCTGTAGAATCTCTGTCCATCCAGAAGGACCAGCATCAGCTCCAGTGGAGGACAAGGCTCATGGGCAGGGCCAGCACAGGCCACGGTGACACATGGAGGACAGGATCCAACACTCACTGTCACCCAGAACTACTTGTCCATGACCATCCAAGCCCAGTGAGGATCAGGATGTGTCACCCACTCCCTTCTCCCCATGGCACAAACTCACTCTTCACTGCTGCAAGCCCTGATCTTCAAGGCTTGGTAGATACATTCCACTTCTTGGCTCTTCTGCTCCTGACAGCAAGGCTGCTGCTCCTCCAGGGCCAGAGACATCTTCCGCTGAGTCTCCTCCACTTCCAGCAGCTGCAGGAAAAGCTGGAGAAACAGCACAAGGTAAGGGGGCAACTTGGAGCATCTTCTACCAACTGGTTGATCCAGGACTCCTGCCCAGCTAGATGTCCCCTCTCTCACAGAGCTCCTCAGATGAAAACCAAGCATCTGCACCATCCCACCCTGCCCCAAATTGTGGTTCTCTCACCTTCTCAATCCTGTGCAGCGCCCGAAGCCGGTGGCTCCCCGCAGCCTTCAGGAGAGGAGAAAGGAAGGCACAATGGTTACAGCCAGCACCAGACACCGCCACCAGCAGAGCGCTGGGCCAGCTGCTCCCTGGGGATCAGAGGTGGCTTCAGGATGCAGAGCAATCCCATGGGGAGGCCATGGCCAGCTCCAACTGCCCAGAGCTCCATCCCACCCCTAACAAGAGGACAAGCTGCCATGGTTCAGGTGGAACCCACTCCAACTGCACATCCCATCCCACAGCTTGGGGCAGCACCCATGTTCATTCACAACTCCTAAAGCTCCTGCTAAAGTTGCTCCAGGGCCTGGAGAAAGTTTGGAGACACATCCCTGGGCATCCGAGGCACAAACCAGCCTGGCTTCTCCTCACCTACCTCCTCCACAAGGGAATGGTGCACAGCATCAATGGCTCGGCGAGGGCTGTAGCAGGTGGAGACCGCGACCTGGCCCAGTGAGCCTGCGATGCGTACCACTGGAAGAGAAATGGGATACGGTGAGACCACATCCCGCAACCCCTCACCTGTCCCCCACCACCAGCCCCAGCCCCTCACCAGAGTCATATGTCTCCACTTTCTGGATGAATGGTGTGACCAACTTGGGGGGTTCCTGCTTGTTGCGCCCACCAAGCAGCTCCTCCTCCGCCTGTTTGCGCTCCAGCCAGTGGTAGTAGGTCTGTAACAACAGGTGTAGCCAGGAGAGGAGCCACTATGAGCCCAGTCACCCTCCAGCTCCCAAAGACATGAAGGTCCAGCCCTGAGGAGCAGAATAAGCCACTGGTGTTGCTGGTAGGAGCTCACCTGGTAGTAGTAGTCATCATCCATGTTCTCACTCTGCAGCTGGATCATTTCCACCTTGACAACCCAGTCCTTTTCTTTAGAGGTCATCAGCCCAGCATAAGGGTCCACTTTAGGAGACCACAGCTTCTTGGGGGATATGCTGACACAGGAGAAGATCAGAGCCTTCTGTGACTGCCCAGAGCCACCCCACAGCTCCCCAGGGACCCCCTTACCTCTGCACCTGCCCGCCTTGCTGCTGCCGCTGGGTCAGGATCCGCTGGTGCTGGGGGTGCAGCTGTGTCATGTGGCTGGGCACACTGCAAAGGAGACCAGATAGGGGTCAGGGGCTCAGCACCCTCAGTAGAGTTGTCCTCAGAGGGGGGACACTCCTCCAGCTGCTTTGTGGGGCTCCTCTGGTCCCACCCTTGCTGTCCTACTAACCTGAGGTTCAGCTGGCCACTGGCTGATGGACTGAAGAAGAGAGTGGGATCCAAAGAGGGAGACATGGGACCAAAGTGCATGGCGAGAGGCCGTGGTGGGCTACTGATGTTGGGTGACACAGGCTGGAAAGGGGTGGGAGATGCATACCCTGCAGTCTGGAGAGGAAGAGGGAAGAGATCAAGTGTCTGAACCTTTCCCCTCCAAGGGTCCTGGAGGGGTCTGCCAGCTCCACACTGGTTTCTGGCTCCTGTCCCAGAAGGAGATGCCCTCTCCCTGCACAGAGGGGATGTGCAAGGTGATACCCCCCAGGGATGCTGCTGCTACAGCTGGGCAGGGCAAAGGGACCTGGGTGTCACCAGGGATTGCATGCCCCAGGTCCACCACCAGTGTCCCAGCGTGACACCAACATCATGCCTGATGCAGGTCCCATGGGGACATCAGGACAAAGACATTTATGAAGCAATGGCTACGCTGATCCCTTCAGACACCGGAGATGGGTGCTCAGGAGCACTGGAACAGGCTGCCCAGGGAGGTTGTGGAGTCGCCTTCTCTGGAGACATTCAAGACCTGCCTGGACGCCTTCCTTTGTGATCTCATTTAGGTTCCTGCTCCGGCAGGGGGATTGGACTAGATGATCTTTTGAGGTCCCTTCCAATCCCTAACATTCTGTGATTCGTGATAAGATGGAGCTTTGGGGAGGCACCATCCCCACCAGCCACTCCAGGGCCACCTCAGAGGTGACTCACAGCCCACTGAGTACCTGGTTGGAAGCGAAGAGCGGAGAAGGCCTGCCAGTTGGCGTGAAGGGCCGAGGGGAGCATGGGGAGCGAGGCAGAGGTGACTGCTGCAGGGCAGGAGACAAGAGGTGTTGCTGGGACTAGCCTGTCCTCGAGGCTACACCTCTGGAGAGGGGAGGGCAGAAGAAAGAGGAGACACAATAGCCCCCCCAAAACCCATTACCTGCCGGAGAAAGCGCTGAGGGAAGGACTTGGGGGACATCAGTCTTAAGTCAGGGTGCTTGAGCCGAGGAGAACCCCCATAGCTCCTCTGCACAGGGGAGCCAAGGAAGTCAAGGGCCATGTTGGTGGACGGTGGGGGCCTCTCCAGGACCTGGAGGATGGCTTTATCCTGTGGGGAGGAGGCAGCAGAAGATGGGAACGGGGCTCAGCTGGGATCAATTTGGCTCCCCCAGCATCAGGCAGCTCATCAAAACCTTGGGTCATTGCTCAACCAGATCATGCACCAGCCAAGCTCCCATCCTGGTGGTGTGCAACAGCAAGGGACCCATGAGCACACCCAGCATGGGGGTCTCAGTCCCACCAAACTCAACAGCTTTGCCTTCAAACCCAAGCTCTACTTAGGGTGAGCACCTCTACTCTCAGCCTTTGCACCCAAGAGACACATCCTTGCACCTCCAGACCCATGATGAGGCTTTGGAGGCCCCCCAGTTGCCCAAATCACTTGCACAACCCTTGGCCCAGGATACTGGGAAGCCCTCAGCCGCTCCCCAAGGGTCTGGCCACGGATACCCACCTCCAGCATGTGGTGGGGTGGGATGTTGCTGGGGCAGGAGCCCCATACTGCAGAATCCATTGTCAGCTAGAAGACGGGGAGATGGTCAGCATAGAAAAGGAGGACAGGAGGGGAGGGGCTGGGGACACCACAGAAGCCACTCAGCCCCATCACCAGATGAGAGGGGACATTTTTACCATGTCCTCTTTGCCAAACTCTGCCCAGCAAGTGCCAATCCTGCTGTCTAGTACTGCCGAGTCCTGGCTCTGTGGGCAAAGAAGAGGTTACAGGCACATACTCAGCCCCAGCAGGTCGTCTTCCCTCAGGCAGGGACCAAACCACCCCCTGATGCCCTATGTGGGGCAGGACCCATGGGTGTGGGTCCCCTCCCTCCCCGCTCACACGTCACCTCCAGTGTGGGCTTGCTCTGCACGGCTCTCATCACCGCTGGGTCTCCCAGGTCATTGGGCTCCTCAAAGGGCTCCTGGTCTTCCTCCTGTTCCTCATTCCCCATCTCCTCCTCCTCCTCTTCCTCCAACTCAGAGCCAACCTGCTCAGCCTCCAGCTCCATCCCACCTTCTTCCTGGGGCTCTTCCAGCTCCTCTGGCTGCTCAGTCCCTCCAAGCCCCAGTTCCTCCCCAGCCTCAGTCTCCTCTGACACCACTTCGGCCAGCTCAGGGCTTGTCTCCAGAAGTATCAGGGGTTTTGTGACGTCCTCCTCGGTGGAGTCTCGGTCTTGCAGTGGGAAAGGAGAGCATGTCAGCATGGGTGAGAGCCTGGGCAGTGCCCATCAGAGCCCCTGCTCCCAACCCAGTGCCTCACCAGGTAGGAAGACACCTTCCTCACCCCCCACCTTCATCCTCCTCACCCTGTTGGGTGCTGGCTGGTGGACACAACCCTGGGGCTCCCCTGAGATCTTACCTAACCCAAAAGTCATCTCATTGTACAGGTCAAGCTCTTCATCCTCCTCAGCCATCTCCTCCAGCAGAGGTGCATCTTCCACCAGCAGGTAGTCCTCAAGGATCTGGAGTCAAAAGCAGCAGGGTCCCCACTGAGGGAGACAGGCAGGGATGGGGTAACTCTAACCTGCCCCCCAACCTCCTCCTCCACTATTGGGGGTGCTGGGCAGCCTCCAGGACTCACAGCTGCTTCACAGCTGTAAAGGGAAGAGCAGGAGCCACCAGCACTACCAGCAAGGGCAAGACCTGCTGGCTCAGGGC